TGCAACAAAGTACTACCACTGTGCGCACTGGCATACAATACGTCAGAGCACGAGACCGTAGGCTACTACCTACACGAGCTTATATTTGGCCAACGCGAAAGACTTCTGTCAAGCTTTAAACAGCCAGAAAAAGGATGTACGTACACAGACTTGCTAGAATAAATAACAGGTAATCTCATTCAACTAAGAACGCTGGTGGCAATAAAATAAACAGAATATGTATAAATAAAAATATTATTACGGCAGAAAACGGAATACGTAGTTCTTCATGGAAGAAGAAATGGTATATACACCAAAAGAACCGTCTAAAGGGAAGTACGACGACTATTTTAAAGAGCCATATGAAATAACGGGCATAGATTACAATAATCACATCGTCAAGTTACAAAGATACAACGAAATACGCGTAGCACATGTAAATAAAATCAAGAAGGCGTGTATATTAGAATCTCCACACCCAGCGAAAAACAAGAAGAAAAAGGAGCAACACACTACTGAATAAACACGTGCTTTTTTCCTCGGCCCTTGGACGGACAATAACAATAATGCAAAAATATAGACAATGAATAATTAAATATATAAACAGAAACAAGAAAAACGCACACATAAACGTAACGTATAGACGTATTTGAACAAGGTCAACTCTCCTTTGAGACAACGCGAACATATGCAGCCGATTTATAATATTCAGAGTAATAAAATGTAGGATGGATGAGTGAGAGCGGGTTCTTTTATAAATAAAAACAACAATTATTTGCGGAATGACACTACTTACCTAGGCATAAAACTCTCGCGGATTGAGAGAAAGCCGGGGTAAGTGTAATATTTTTATATAATCAGTCAATAAAAGGTACAGAACAATTATAATTGTAAGAAATAAGTAACCTTAATGCTACGCCTTACACGCTTCGCTCGCAACGTGACAAGATAACGTGCTACACGATTCGCGAGGATCCTTTAGTACCTAAAGAGAGCTCTCTTACCTCAGTTGCGCCGTCCGTAATAAATACTCCAACACCGCACCACAGAGGATGGGTGTCGAGGAAGTGCCGCAGGGTGCTCGGGAGCACACAGGAGATTCGAGACCTGGCTGTCCAAACGCGTCCTGACGTCTCGAGCTCCCAAACGCTTGGACGACGGGCAACACTCTGTTACCACGTTGCGCTTGCCGTAGAAGATCACGATTACCCGTGGACACCTTCTCCCACCAAGTAACACCAAAAACACACACGCTTCACTCACACTACTATTCTATCCCAGCGCCTGGGCACTCGCATAGATTTGTTGGTTATCTGATTAATTAGTCGCACGCTCGCTTACAATATGGTGGATAAAGGAGTGCAGAAGAGTAACACGGCACCGTTGGCAAATATACATATATAGTGGGGAGAGAGGAAGTGTATAGAGTCGGTGGGGGGACGGGGTAAGGGGGAAAACTTGAGAGAAAAAGACTTCGGGTAAAACCACTTTCGTTTGAAATAACAAAAAATCTGATGGTTTTAGAATTTCAGCCCCCCTAGTAACGCGACATAAAGAACTTCGTTCTAATAATGAAAATCAAGACGACAATCCTGACAACAAGAAACCTCAAGATAACACAGAAGAAAATCTGGAAGGAGATAGTAACAACTAATTCGTAAACAAACGAGACGAATAGAATGGTGGACAAGACGCATGGGATACGAAGAGCGGCAAAGAAAGTGAGCGAGAAAAAAAAAGGGAAAAGGCTCATGAAGAGCGCATCATGCCCCCACCTTAACCTTCACGATCACTGAACACTAGCACCAAACGAGACTCTATCTTACCAGATAGCGACCGGGGTCTCAGCAAAGCTTTAGTAGAAGAAAGCGACAATAGTCCCAGCGAAGAGAGAAAAATTTTTGACGAAGTGGGCGTAATGAAAAAGTATTGAGTATATAGGACACGATTTCCACGCGACATATCTTCATGGGCCCTTCATGGCAACACAGAACCCATCCCGTTTCAAAAAATGAGAAGAATCAAAGATCACCCGTTCAGGTATATCGATAACCTAGCGTTCTTCACAATAACATATGATATACCGGGAACAGAGACTATCGACGCGCTATACGAGCAAGGCTATAGAAACCCGGTAGTCATGAATAAGGAGACGGAGGCAGTCGGCGGCGTCATGCTATCCAAAATAAGAAAAGCGTGCGTTATTCAAACGTACGCAAAAACTCACTTCGAGGAATCAGTGATAAAATCTGACATAAAGAAACGCGTTATAGCCCTTAGATCACCGGTAATGGTAAACAAACTAAAAATGACAGGATTGATGACAGAATTTCATACTTAATAATAACTAATGGATGTACCTAGTAAAAAAGTTTGAGAAAATCCTTAAAGGAATAAAAATGAGCACTACGTTATACACAAATACATTGATAGTACCACCAGTAGATCAGGGATATAAGCTGATAAAAGAATGTCATGAATTGGCACTAGGGTGACACCGTCATAAGTGTAACTCGTTTAGCAAAATAGCGAAATACTTTTATGAGCGAAAAATAAGGACAGACGTGAGGCAACACGTACTCGGCTGCTTGTGATGCCAAACAAAAAAGCTTGTGTAATTTATAATAAAACAGGCCCTGGTTATTACCAATACTC